CTTCTAGACATACTTTATAGAAGCGTCATAGATGCTGCTTTGATTTAATATGTGTTTATAAATGATTGATAGGCTAAAAACTTGGTCAACAAGTTAACCACGTATTGATAGCTTGCAAAACTAGCTAAATATGTGGCACACATGTGAGTCATCAAATTGACTCACTTATTATTTTAGTATAAAAATATACATTTAGAATGCTTTAAATTTCAAAATATAGTGAGTAGTGTAGAAATCCTTTGAAAAATAGAAAATTAGAATGTTGGTGGTAGAGATGGAGTCTTAGTAAGTCTTAGAAGCAATTATCTTCGTTGATTTAGTATTTTTATTCATTATTGAGTATTAAATATTATTTATTAAGACCAATATTTATATTGGTATTTTATCCATATGTACTATTTATAAAACTATAAATGTTAGTAGTTAGAAGAAGCATGAGAAAGAACCTCATGTCATTTTAGTTATTGATATAAAAAATAGAATTTATAGTGGATTTAAATTGATGTTTATTATTATCAAAAATAAAAAAATATAAGAAAATATAGCCTTATATAGATATTAGCATTATATAAATATTATAATATTTTTCATAATTTATTTAGAATTTATTTATAATTTTTTAGGAATTTTTAGAGCAATCTTTAAGATCTTAGTAAAAATGAGTTTTACAACTTTGTAAGTTATTATGAAGAAAGGGAGTAAGATTTGAAGGCCACATTAAAATTCTGAGTGGATAAGGTGTTTTTAAACACCATGGTGAAGTCAAAAATATTTAAAAAATGAGTTTTACTAGTAGAAAATAGGAAGACCAGCAGTTAATCTAGTCTTTGTAGGAAGGAAGGTGTACAAGTCCCATATGGGTTGTAGCACCTTGGGTATAGGTAGGAAGATAAGACTAAGGCCTCAAGGCCTCTTCAGACACCCAATATACAATACATGTGAGCCTTGGTGAGGCTCGAACCCTTGACCTATAGGTAAGTTACCCTTGAAGTAAAACATTTTTACTTTTTATTGGAAAAAAACTCCGTGAACAGATTGTGACCGAGTTTTGGAGTGTGTTTTGCTTGTATACATTCCTTTCACTTGTTTGTGTCGTTTCTTCTTTTGTTCTTGTTAATTGCATCTTCCACTTCATACTATCCATTACAAGCAACTCTTAATTGAGGCCATTTTGTAATTTGGGTGGAGGGGTGAAATTTACACTCACATCACATATAAAAAAACTTACTTTACAAGTTAAAATATGTATTTTGTAAAGTCAAGACGTTTTGGAGGTCCTATAGGACAACGCTATGTATCTTCTAGTTAAGAGTATATATGGAGGCAGGAATGAAGCCTTCTTCACTCTTGTCAATACCTTTCTTGTTTTTACACTTGTTTTTTGACTTTCTAGTCTTGTTGTTTGTAGCAATAGCCATTCTACTTAAATTATATATCATCTTTGAGTGACTTTCTAGCTCTTTTCAGTATCATAAGAGCATATTGAAGATTTTTATATTCAAAATTTATTTCCTTGATAATAATCCACACTTATTTATAATCATGAATTTTTTTTTATATATATATACAAGATAGGAGCTTTTTGGGGGGATTTGGAATGGCATATGAAATTCTTAGTTAGATTTTCTTTAATATATTCTTTGAGTTCAATTAATTTATTTTGTGATAAATTATAGATTTATCAAAGTGGCAGTTGAGCTCTTTTTCAAAGGTCAATTGAACAATCATAGGAATGATGTTTTGAAAGAATATCCTCATTCTTCTTTTTAAAGACATCTTAATAATTTTAATATTGGCTTAAAATGCTACCTAAAATAATTAGATTAGAAAGAGATCTAATAATATTAAATATCATAAAATTACTATAATCATTACTTGATACTTCTATAAGAAGGGTTTCTTGAGTAATATCTCCAAAAGACAATAGATAATCACCTATGACTTGTATATGAACATGTTTAATTTTCTTCACTAAAGTTTTATTATGTCTTTTAACAAATTCTTTGTATAAGAAAAAAAAAATGAGGCTCTTGAATCTATTAAGGTATAAGCTTTGTAATTTTTAGATCATAAATTAATATCTATTATAAAACAAGGAGATGATTTTGAAGAAAAAATAAGATCTTTATTAGGTATTGTATAAAATTCTAATTGTATAATCTCTATTGTAGCTAGAAAAACTCGTTTTTTGACACATTATCTTCTTTGACAAAAATTCTCATCATTTAGTGGTTGCATTGCTTCTTTGAATAATACTGAGCAATAGTATGCTTAGGTTCTTCATAATATAAGCACAATACTTCTTAACAACAATAAGGTTTTTCTTGCTTTGAAAGAATTTTAAAATATACCACATTAATTGCATATTTTTTACTATCAAATATATTTGTTGTGAAGATATTGGTCGTATTATTGAATTGTAGTGATGTTGAGATATATTTGTGCACTTTTCAGATTGAAATTCAAAAAACCAATTATTATACTTCACAATAAAGTTAATTGCTTATCTCAATATTTGAGGATCAAGTAAATTGAGCAACAATTTTTTATTTCATATTATAATCTATAAAAAAAATTATTAATAAGTACAACATCATTTCACGTGATATTAGTCATAAGTTGATAATATTTTGAAGTAGTGAATAAATTTGACTTATGATCTTGGAGTTGAATATCTTTAAGATTGAAGTTCAATTATCAATTATACTTGATTGATGAATCCTTAAAATTTTGATTACATACCATCAAACTTTTCAAGCAAAGCAATTCTAGATTCTCTAATATTTAAATGGTATTCCACCATAAGAAGAGTAATATGATTTGGTTTAAATATTAAAGCAACTCCAATCATCTTTATATCTTTATTCTCTACCAATCTTATTACTCATTGTGGTAGTAAATTGAGTTGATGCACATCAAGAATTAACTCCTTCAATTGCTCTTGTATTTTTGCCATTACACTCTTCATTTCAATAAGCTCTACCATGATTACGCAATAAAAAAGATGTTATTTAATATCTTTCATGATAAGTAGAAGTAAAAAAAAAGAAACAAAAGAAATATCAATTTAAAATAATATCAATTTAAAAGTGAATAATCTACAACTTCTAATATGCTTATGTCTCATTAAGAGAAAGGACTAATCTACTCTTAATCAAGAAAAGACAAAGTTTTGATATTATGAGTATATTCTTGTCAATCTATTAAGTACAAAAACTCAATGAAGGCAAATAAATAAGTAACATTTTTTCAAAGAAAGATCACAAAATGGAAATAAGTAAGTATGTATATTCAAAAGAAACTAGAATGGTTATTGCCAAAAGACAAAAAAACTAGAGATCCTTGAAATTAAACTAGAATCAGAAAAGAAATTGACAAGAATAAAGAAGGCTTTATTCTTGCCTCTATATATATTATCTTCATAAGAGCTAAATGGCGTTGTTCTACAAGACCTTTAACATATGTCTAATTTGCAAGACATATATCTTAACTTACAAGATAAAATTTTCATATGTGCACCACAAGTTACCAATACAAGCAATACGTGGCTAACTTGTTGGCCAAGTTTCTAAACTACCAATCACCTATAGACATGAATAAAGGTGAAATTATGTCTATGAAGCTTCTATGAATTTTTTCTACAAGATATTACTAAATTAACCTATTTTTATCTATTTCTAACTATTCATATTATCTAGATAATTATTGGAGTAAATATGTTTATTTGTGTAACATAAAGATAAAACAACATCTTGTGAAAGTTCTATACAGCTTTTTTATAAAAACTTATACATAAAAATATTTAATGATATTTTGGAATTTAAGTTGTACTTCAAAAAATTAGTAGTATTAAATCTAACAACTCATGGATTAAATTTTAAGGACTATTTTAAAACCAAATTTTATATTAAATAATTTTAATAAATTAAGAAAAATAAAATAAATTAAAGTCATAGTTATAAATTAAATAGGGATTTTTAAAAAATAATATATTTTTATAATAAATAAGATTAATAAATTTAAAAATTAATATGTAAAAACTTTTTTAAATAATTAATATATAAAAAAAATTTAAATAATTTTTTAAATTGGATACCATAAATACTAAAAAAATTATGATTTAAACGTATTATAAAAATTTCTAAGACCTCTCATATATTTTTATCTATTTTTAGAAATATTTATAAACATCTAAGATCTTTTAGAATCTTCAATAAGTATTTAAATTTGTCTAATGTATTATATATTTATTTTAAAGAACCTTTAATAATTATTTGTGATTTTTTTAAAGACTATATATAAAAGATTCTTTAGACTTCTAAAATAGTTTGTAATTCTCAAGACCTTATTTAAAAGAATTCTATTAGACTTCAATGCTTTAGTATAAACAAGGAGACAAAATCATGAGTATCTTAATTTTATTAATACTACTTTTGAAGCAATCTAAAGATTGGCTTGAACGTAGTTTTATATTTGTATTTGTTTGTAATGCAATCCTATATTTATCTTATACTTTGAAAATCCTTAATTTATTATCTTTGAATCTATGAAAATATATCAATGTATTAAGTGAAAGTGATAAAATCTAAAAACATAAGTAAATATAATATATTTCTTTTCAAAAATATTCATTATATATAATTGGTTTTAAAATACATTGTATGTGAAAAATGATAATTATTTTAAGAACAAAACTTAATGCAAATGTTGGATGAGTGTTTTTAGTTATTTAAAAAATACTAAAAAATACAAATAAATCTAAATAAAAAGCAAGAAGGTAATCCAAAATTGTAACATTAATCTCTTACAAGAAATTAGTATTAACAAGAACTTGAGAATAAATCCCAATAAGAAGATTGATGTGCTTGTGAACAAATTTTCAACTTCACACACAATTGACAATAATGAAGTGATTGAGGCCAGAAAAAGAAACTCATGCACATAACTGCACAAAAAACACAACCTTATCACCTAAAATGACTAACAAAGGGACAACTACAGAAACTATATCAAATTCAAGTTATGCAAGTATTAAAGCATCCTAAACATAAGAGTCCTATATGCTAAAAAAGCCATGGTTATGTAGCGCATCTTCAGATTCGACTCAACCGAAGAACACGCTTATACACAGAAATTGATGCAGCATGTGAGCAGTGCTGCGCTGATATGTCTGGGTTTCCATCCTACTTCCCTAAACCATCACTTAACTCTGCAACTCTGTTTCACAAATTTACGCGGTCTCCTCAAGCTACAACTGTTTTTTGAGGTAGAAGACAGTCCGCTCACATTACAGCATTTTTCTATTCTTCTCTTTCTTTTCTTTCTCCATCGTTTGTATTTCGTCCCTTCGAAGTGTGTCGTGCTTTTGTGATTAGCATAGACTCGACATGATTTGTACAGCGATTTTATTTAACAAACTCATGCACAAAGTTCGCGAAGCTTCGGAAAGCACTTCAAGTGGTGTGTGTGTTCAAGGACCATGCACCGCATATACTAAAACAAAACGAGGTATCAAACATTTCTGATACTGTAGGCATTAGTTTAAATATTTTCGTAGGAATTGACGAGCTCTCTCACCCATTACGTTCTTACTCTTTCAGTGACTTCACTCTCTTCCTATCTACACGGTCGGAGATGGAAGCGATAGATTGAACGGATTAGATACATACCGAGCAATCACCACACCAAAGAAACGAACATTCATGGACGTGATCGAACACTTAGAGTCTGGTGATTCAACGAGGCTTGCTCAATATTGCGGTCCCCGGTAATAGGACTCTCGGTAGCGTTTCGCATGCGAATCCACGCTGGAACCGACGCCATCCACGACCTGCATGACCAAGAAGACGATGAGCCCCACGGACAGGAAGAACATGATGCCGCTGAAGAAGAGCCGCGCGAGGATGTATCCCGCGCCGTACATGACCACCGCCGACACCAGGCACATGACCAGATGCTCCACGTCCATCCCCTCTACGAAGCTGCCTACGTCCCTCGCCAGACTCGAGCCGTTACTCTGCGTCCGAGCACCTCGCTGCTCCTGCGGCGATGTGTAGTAATCCTCGTGCCATCCCCCCGCCATGCTCAATCGGATCGCCAACCTTTCTCAGCAAAGTTTCCGCTCTGCACAGATTTCAGGTTCAGACCGTCAGTATCTCCGTTAGCCATCCGAATCAGCCGACCGCCTGGCGTATCCTCGCAATTCCAGCTCATTGGAAAACAACACAGGACGTGCAAGTCCATCGCCGAGGTACTGATTCCGTCCTACCTCTTGTGCAATCAGCCAACATTGATGCAATTCTGAACTCTCTCGGGAGCTTCCGGTCAATCCTAAGCATCCGGTGGAGGATATTTGGCGAATTGCGCCATAGAAGACTATTGAATCCTCCTCGTAAGCGGACTATTGCAGTTTGGACCTGGTTGAGAATTGGCAAAGCGTGCATGGAGTTCGGCGAGGAGGGCAACATTTGGACAATGAGCAGAGCGTTGGGCTGAGGAAACCATGGAGGTTAAAGAGGACGGCAGCTTGGGTGGGTCAAACGAATGATATTCGTTGGACTGGATGTGTTGATCGAGGATTGAATGCGGATGTAGATGTAGATTTTTCGATGAGCTGGGTCTCATTCTGGGGTGGTGAGCTGTCGTGTCAAACTTTTTCAAAAAGCTAAAGTCGGTGTGGCTGTGCTAAACACTATTCAACATAAGTGTGGTTACATGGAAAGTTGGGTAAAAACATTGACATTTTTTCTTACAATGGAATTTATATATATATTTATATAAATACATTTATTTATATAAGGGAATGTTAAATAGGTTCATGCTTTTATTAATATGGTAATCATTATGAATGTGAGTGGTTTTTTATTGGTTGCAGATCCAATAATAAAGAAACAAATCTAGATTTATTTTTATTCTTTCTTCTCATGATGATTAGGATGGGTGGGTAGATTTAGTAAAAACCTGGGTCTATTTAACATTCCCCTATATATATGTATCTATATTATTTAACATCTTGTAATATGTTTGGTTGAAGCCCAGTCTTTGAAAGCTCTTCATTGTTGATAACAAGCCACAAAATAAGGAAACCAAACAGGGACATATAAATGTCTGAGAAATCCTACATAACAACCATATTCATACAATTGTCATGGGTATTGTGAGAGTGTTCTTGAAATGACAACTTAAAATTGTTCATGGCAAAAAGAACTTTCTCTTGAATCCTCACTTTGTGCCATGATTTACTTTTTCACCCAAACAAGCAAGCTATAAAGCATGATTTTGGATTTTGCAGAACAAGTATTCAACTTGCACTGTGACTTCTTTTTGTTATTACTTCATCCACCTGTCATCCATGCATGTCAATAGCGATGGATGTTGGGTAGCTACCTGAAATTTTGTGGGCAGCTTCAAAACAAACAACCAATTTTTAAGCTGCCCTCAAAGTATTGACAATAGGGATTTAAGGTGTCAAAAATAAAAAAATAAATTTTGGAAAAATAATTTTAAAAAACTATTGAAATGTTTTGGATGTGTGAAGCCATTTGGGTTTTATGGTCATCCAATACTATAAACCAGTTAAGTACCTATTCCTACATGGCCAAGATTCTTTTGCTTTTACTTTTGTGCCATGCAACAAGGTTTACTGCAGCAGTGAGTGCAAGCTTGCACTTTACTCAACAATTGAAAATCTACTGGCTCAATTTTGCATTCAGATATATATATATATATATATATATATGTATATATATTTATTTATTGTCACACAAATATAAAGACACAGGCAATAGTCAAGTTGATGGATATACGAGTAAAAGATTAACAAACCCAACTGACCTAGTCACGTCATGTAGTGATCTCCCCCATGGCAAGTGATGTGAGGAAAGCCCTCAAAAGAGATGGCACTTGAGCCTGAACAAGCACTGAGGCAGGAATTGATCACTACTGGTTCCAAAAAGCCACACACCGTTTTGCAGAATTGTTTAAGTCACTTCAAGGGAGGCCATTGTCAACAACATGGGAGCTTCCGAGGTAAACCCATTCCATGCATTGGAAAAGCCCAAGGGATTGCCGCCCCATCCCCCATTTTGACTAGTCCAAATGGCTAGCCAGGCTTGTCCATGTTGTATCCACAAGCTTCACTGTATCACCGCTTTTGTTTTGTTTTTGTTTTTTGTTTTTTTTTTTTTTAGTTTTGCTTTGTCTATTATAACAATCTAGATTCACAACTAGCACACACCAGATCGAGACCGTACAGCCTCGAAGAAAGTGGAGTCTAGAATACTTTGTGGCTGGGAAAACTCACCAGCGGAAACATGATCTTCCCTGACCTATTGCAGCTGAGGTGGTGCATCCTTGTGATCCTGGAACTTCAGTTCAGAGCTAACCAATAGATTCTAGTGACACTGGTGAGATGTGGAATAAATAAGCTTGTTGTCACTGTAATGCGGTCCTGACGACCTTGCTGTAGAAGACATTGATACCCAAGTCGGCATTCTGTCCCGGGTATTCAATGATTTATACTGCGACGGTGGAAGTTCAGCAGGACAAATTTGCATTTCACGTGTATACATTTCAGGTGGTTCAGAACTCAAAAAGTTGGGATGCTTTGCTACTGCCTTGTGTGCTATTTTCAATGTCATAACGTGTGACGAGATATTGCCCCGACATAGATGATGACAATGGCGACCCAGAAAACTTGTACAAGCAATGCTAGACCAGGGTTCAAGCATGCATTTCGCTTGCTAAACTATGTGCGCTTGCCCAAGCAAAGTTTTGCAGCTGTCGCAACGTTTCTGTTCAGTGAAAAGAAAACCATGCATCTGGAAGTTCCACTGCCAGAGTACAAAATACAGAGCCTCACATATATCTTCAATTCTCCCTTGTGCACTTTCAGGTGAAGTGGGTGCAAGGATATTGAAAAGGGTGGGAGACATTCTCGACCAATAAGAGTAAGACATGTCGAAGGGTAAAGATGGGCTAAATCAAAACTTGAAACATAAAAGTCATCAGACGCTGCGACACAAGTCACTCCAAAAAAACAGACTCTTCCCTGAAAATGAAAGTTTCATATTTAGCGAGTCTAATTTGCATATTACAATATAGTTGCAAATCTGGTTGCAGAGTTCCAACCCTCAAAAGAAATTAAGGCTTGCATCAAACGGAACTAGGGCCGTCTCATCTGTTTCAAAGCGCATAGTGCAACGAAGTTGTCTAAGAGTATTTGCAGTAGAGGACCCTCGTAAGCGATGGCTCATTACGACATGATGAAACCATCCACAAGCCTTGGCTATGGTGACTACTCCTGACTCCTGCACACCGTTGCAAAATGATACTCTTAAGCTTCGTAGCAGTTCACATTTGCTCATGTTCTTCAAACCAATGTCTGTGACCCTGGTAAAAGCCAAGCTGAGGTGCATGAGCCGGGTGCATTTCCGAGACAGTACATCAAGCCCCTCGTCAGTAACGAAGGCGCAGTCGTCAAGTGTAAGAGATTCTAACGAAGTGAATCGGGCAACAGCACTCATGTTAGTAATGGAATCACATTTCACAATAATAAGCTGTTTGAGATTTTTAGCCCCACTGGCTATGCTGATGAGACTCAAGTCGTCGACGGTAGTGTAACTTAAATCAAGAAACTGCAAATTGGAGCATAAAGCAATCGAAGAGTATCCAATTGCAGTAGGGCCGGTACAGCCTCGAAGCACCAAATGCCCTAACTGCCTGTTTCCGTCCATCAGCAATTGCAATTCCATATCTCGGACTCGCGCATGTAGAAGAGAAAATTTGTTGAAATCTAATCCACACAGCCCGATTCCCCCAAGCCCTTGCCCAGTGCTCTGGAAATTGTCGAGAGACAGATCTGAAAGAAATTTACACTGCTGGATACATGACAAAACGCCCTCCGTGAGATTCGTTGCGTCCAGATGTAGTTTTTGTAGCTGTGGGCATTTCAGAAGCAGTGCAATTACAGCGGAGTCGCTCAGCCGATTGGGAGATACAAACTCAGTTAGGTTCTTGTTGGCGGTTGCGATGGCAACCACTGCTTCATCCAACTGGTACTCCTCATCGCTTTCAAATGCCAGCGAACGAAGAGACGTGCATCGTGAAAGCTCCCACAAATTTGCTGTCGTATATTTTAGTGATAAGTCTCGAAGCATGTGGCAACCATGAGCGACAGACTTCAAAGCCTGGTCGATATTCACGGCCCCGAGCTCCAGCACCAATTTCAACAATCCTACGCATTTCATGCCATCAATTGCTAACCCCGACCATGTAAACCTAAATTCTCCTTTCAAGCTGAGTTCTTGCAATTCATTACATCCCGCAATTGCCTCCACGGCCTCCTGTCCTAGGCTCCTACAGTTCTCAAGATGCAACACACGCAACTTCACACACCTATGCACAAGCACGCTCAGCCCGGCATCACGAAACAACGGCAACGACGACAATTGCACCTGCTCCAAATCCACACAGCTCTCAGCAAAGGCCGTCACGCCTGCTTCCGTCACCTTACACTGCCAGTGATCCACGTGACCAATTCGCAACCTCTTTAACCGCAAGAACGCCGCAGCGGCGACCCTAAGGTCCTGATCCTCCAGCTGATTCGTGCATTTCGACAGATCCAGGTCCGTGATGTGCCAAAACCTCGGGGACAGCTCCGCCAGCGAGGTCCGGCACCTCACCACGAGCTTGTATGCGCTCCACGCCACGGCTTCGTTCCACACCTTGCACACCGACGCCGCAGACTGCCGGTCCACATCGCTCATCAAGTGCTGCACAATCTGCGCCACCAATGCCCCGTCTCGCACCACTTCCTCCATCGACTTCTCCTTCGCGCTCTCACCCTCGCCCTCGCCCTCGCGATGGCCAATTCGCACCAATCCAGACTTGCCATGACCCGCCATCCTCGTCGACGCCTGCGGTGCAATGCCTCAATGCTTCAAGTGCTCTCATGCAAGGCCGCGATGGCCAGGCTCGATCTAAAACGGGAAGAGAATTGAAGTGCGCATGGGCGTCGAACGCGAGGAAGTGGCGATGGTGCGTCACGAGATGAGTCTCGCAACGACGGGCGTTAGCTCTCACGGCGTTGCGTCACGGCCTTGCATTGTTCCCCGTTCTCGAGGTTCGCCAAATGCAAACGGGGGGAACTTCGAAAACCAAATGGAAAAAGAAAAATAAATTAATAAATCTAATCTAATCTAATGAAAATGGGAACTTGGTCTGTAAACATATCTAAGGCTATGCAGCTTCATATGCAATTAGAAATCATATATTAAAGTTTAAACCACCAGCAGCACAAAGCATCTCAAATTTAATTTACTTAAAAAACCCCAATATTCATAAAAACTTTAATAAATGCATTTTCTTATTTTTTTAGATAAGTAAAAAATAAAGAACCAAAAAATTTGATTTTGGTTGGAAGAATAGTTATTGATACAATCAAGACTAAGGAAATGTATTTTTATTGGAAAATATCAAATATAACTGAAGTAACTTAAGTTAAATCTGATAATTAATAATTCAAGTAATATTTGATGTTGGAATTATTGATACTTAAGCTACTTGAAGTTTTCTTTTGAATATTCCTTTGCAAAATATCACATTTTTTTAAAAAATTATAAGTATGTTATAAAAAATTATAAAAATTTTAAGAAAGAATATATATATATATTAAAATTTAATATTTAAGAGATTTTGTTGTTCTATGTAACTTAAGTATTGGAATTTCAAATACATAAAAATAAATAATAATAATAATTTTATATTTTATCTAATTTAGAATAATTTTCTATATCTATAATTTTAGCCTAAATAGTATGTTAAAAAAAGAATCTATTCATACATTTTTGGTGGCAATAGCAAAAGCAAATGAATATTCAATAACAAATATATAGTGACTTCCAAAATTATCCCAATATTTATACTTGTTACATTCAAAAAATAATGTTGGTAAGAAAAATTCATGGAATTGAATATAGTAAATTTATTGAAATAGTACATACAATGTACTAGTTTCTTATAAAAATTTCAATAAAATCTAAATACTCAATGAAAAGAAAAAAAGTCCTATAGCTACTTTATTTATTAGGACAATATTGAAGGTCAAACATGGAAATTCTTCACCACTTTGTCCATTTTCTTTTGGCTTCTAATATAATTGCAATTTATCTTGACATTCTTTCTACAAGTCTCTTGCAATCATCAACAAAGATAGAAGAAAAGATTCCTTCTACACAAGTCCATAATTCAAGTATTCATTTTAAAGATATATCATATCAATTTAATTTCTTTTTCAAAATAGCCCAAGATTTTTTATAGGATTCAAATCAAATAATTGAAGAGGCCAAGATAAGACATTAAAATGTTGCCTAAAAAACAAATATTTCTTGCTATTATTGCTATGTATATGTGCATTATCTTGTTGGAATATAACTTTTGATGTATCTAAATCATATTTTTTTTAATTATATTATGTAGATGTTCTTCCAATTTTTTTTGATAACCATACTGATTGAGGCAACCTTCAATTTTGTGCATCATGCCAAGTCCAAGAATACACATATATTCCTATATCATTACAAAACCACTACCATTCTTAATAGTCAAAATAATAGTCTACTTTGATAGTTCTTATGGATTATAAATCTAACACTAAACTCTTCTATGTGAAGAAAATCTATTAATCTTAGTCTTATCTAAAAATATCACGTAAATCCAATCATCAATAGTCCAATCTTCATACTTTCTCACAAATTATAAGCAAGACCTAATATTTTTACTTAAAAAATGTGATTTCTTCTCTTTCACATGTAGTTGCAAACCTGCTTTACGAAGTTCATGACACAAGGTAACTTCATTGACTTATACTCTTAAAAGTTCTTTCATCTATTTAATAGCTTTTTTTGCAGTAGACACCTTTCTTCTAGTTATATTACTTATACAAGATTGCTCTATTTGACTTCTCAACTTAAATGGTCTACATCTAACTAAAAGATTTGCATCTAAAAAATGCTTCTTATAGAGCCTCTATATACTTGACTTACCAACATGAAAAGAATTTGCCACCTCTCTCTCACTATAGTCTTTTTGAAGCACAGACAATACATTATATTGCTTCTCTTGTAACAATAGTCTTACCATTTTTTCCTATGAAGTAAAACACAAGAATAATTGATATGTAAATATGTACATGCAACAAAACAAAAACTAAGAATTTTAAAATACATCTACTCTTTAATTGCGATGCTCATAAGATGCATTGATATGAACCTTTAAAATTGTTCCAATGAAGTGGAAATATTTAGAGTTTTCTTCTATGCATATGTATGTAGAGACAAGTATCAAGACTTATACCTCAATTATCTTATTGATAATAGAAAGTAATTAAAATTTTGCCATGTCACTTTAACATGCAATTATTATTTGATAATTTACCAAAATTTCAAATTGGAAACATTGAAATAGTTTTGAAGGTCACTGTATATAATATTAATTTATCTTAATTGTATTTCTAAAATAATAGTATTTTTTAAGTAATATTTTTTTAATAATAGTTTTTTATTTTTAATATTTTTTGATAATAAAAAAGTATTTTATTTTATAAATATATTTTAAAATAAATAAATAAATAAATTTATAAATTTTTATTTATTATTTTTATTTTATTTTTAAACTAATAATAATAATGAATAAAAAAATAAAAAATAAATCTCAAAATTTATATTGAAATTTATTTCAAAACAAATATTTAACTTATCTACAATCAAAGATATCATAACTTATTAAAACTATATTAATAGATTAAGTTTTATCTTAGATTTTTATAGAATAAATAATCCTAAGGATATATTATATAAATTATTTTATACTTTTTTAAATTTTAATACATCCATAATAAATTTATTTTATTTTTAAAATATAAATATCATATGATTAACCTATAAAATTGATATTAATTATAAATATAATGTTGAAAAAATCTCACTTAGATAAAAAAATAAAATAATAATATAATATTACTTTTGTCATAATACAAATGTAATTTTTTTTATATATTTATATATTTTTATATATTTTTATTTAATTCAAAATAATATATTTTCTATTAATTGATAGTTTTTTATTTTGGACAAATTTATAATTGTCATGCATAAAGTATTGAAGAAATACAATAAGCAAGACACAAATAAGTAGAAATCAAAATGGTTGCACATAAGAGAAGTGTGGAATGATATGCCTCTCTCTTCTAACACCCTTTATTTTGGTGAGTTATCAAATAGTAATTGCATGTTAAAGTGACACGGCAAAATTTATGATAGGAGGAATTTATATCTATTATAGTTGAACTTCATTTATAATCATCTTCATCTATGCAACTTAACACTAGATTCCTCTTAACTTAGATGCCACATCAAACCCTAGCTACTATACTAGTAAGTTACCTTCATTCTTTTACTATCATTTGACCATTAGCAACTCGCTTAAAGTAATTGTAGCTTATTTTTATTTTAACACTTTCACTTTGTTATTAATCAAAGGCTTTTAAACCTAGTGCCTTTGTCAACTTTTGATGCCTATCTTTTATTAGTGCTTTTATTAATAAATCAGCAAGCATATCTTCTATTGTACAATACTTCATGTCAAATACTCTCATTTCAATCTTCTCTCTTGTGAAGTGATGTTGAATGTCAATGTGCTTGCTCTTGAGTGATGCTTTGGATTCTTTACAAAATCAAGAAATCTTTGATTATTACACTTTATTGGAATTGCTTCCAATTGCACAAGATCAATGTCTTCTAAAATTTGTCTTAGCCAAATTGCCTCCATTACACCTTGATTTGTTGCCATGTATTTCACCTCTATTATGGATCTTACAATTCCATGAGATTGCTTTTATTCCAACAAAGAACACATATTTTATTATTGACCTTCTATCATTTGCATCTTTATCTCAATCTATATCAAAATAACCATGCAATGTAACATTATCTCTTTAAAGATATAATTTGAAGTTTAAAGTATAATTTAAGTACTTCATAATACTCTTAATGGTTTTTCAATAGATTGGTCTAGCCTTTGACATGTATTGACTCACAACACTCACCATATATGCAAGATCCATCTTTGTACCAATCTTTGCATATATAAATGAGCCTACTACTACTTTGTATGGAACATCTTTCATTTCATCTTCAATTTCAGCAAATTCCGTATTTGTGAGCTTCATCAACTTCAAATTGGCCTCCAAAGGTGTTTCAATGGACTTACACTATTTCACATTGAATTGTTTCAACACCTCTTCAATGTACTTGCTTTGGCTTATTGTAATCATCTTGTTACCAAAATTTCTTACAAATTCCACTCCTAAATAATAATAGAGCTCTTCCAAATCACTCATTTCATACTCTTTTTCTAATTTTGCCTTCAATTAATTCATCTTCTTTATGGTATTATTCAATATGATTAAATCATCAATATAAAGCATGACAATCAATATGAATTCATTTGATTGCATCACATATAAAAAATGATTAGCCTCACTCCTTACAAATCCCTTATTCACAAAAAATACATCAATACATTGATATTATGTCTTTGGTGATTATTTTAGTCCATAAAAGGATTTCTTCAACTTACAAACAAGATTTTATTTGCTTTCTTCAACAAATCCTTGAGGTTGATCCATCTAGATGTCTTCTTCCAACTTTTCATTCAAGAATGCCATTTTCACATCTATTTGATGCATTTCAAAGTCTATTGCTGTCTCAATTATCACAATAGTTCTAATGATAGTAAATTTGGTGATGGAAGCAAATGTCTCATTGAAATCAATACCAAAAACTTATGTGTAGCTTTGTAAAGTTTATTTGTATTTTTTATTTTGTTTTGTTTTATTTTTTTTTTGCTCTGTTTTGTCTTTCATGTTCTATTCTATTTAGTTTTGTTTAGTTTTGTTTTGATCCATTTTGTCCTACTTTGTGATGAAATTTATATTTCTATAGATTGAAAGAATTTTAGATCTTTAAGATAATTTAGTCTGTTCTTTGGTAATGTATTAATAGCTACTATCTAATTAAA